CACCGGTGGGGTTCTCAGTTGTTGTGTATGCGGGTGGCCTGGTCTAGTGCGAGTGAAATCGCTTGTTCTTGGAATGTCACAGGGACCTCTACCGCTGTATCATCGTCTCGTTTTATCTGGCAACAAGTGTTTTCTACACGAAGAATACCGGCCAAGTGGGTGAATATTGTGAAGAGTGGGCCGGTAGGTCCGACGAGCTGTACCGCGTGGACTTGGACCGTTTCGTTTGCATTGGAGGCATTCTGCGAGAGGAGAAGGCGTCTTTGAGCACGAGACGCTGCGCAAAACGCAGACTGTTTTTTTTTTTGTTTTGTCTTCTCCTTTTCAGAGGGCGGGAATATTATTGCACGTCGATGTGACGCGTACCACTCCTGCTGCTCTTGTTGTTTATGATGGCAACCACCTGGCAAGCACGAAGTACATGCCAGTTCTAACCTCGACGCCAACTAGTGGGCTGTCGTGGTGTGCTCATGACGAACTCGAATGGGACATGTATGCATTTAAGCGGAGCGCATTCATGTTGAGCGTAGACTTCGTTGGCGCGTGGCAGACCGAAAACAGCCTAGCCAAACAAGCGGGAAAGGTTTTCAACGCACAACGACCTACAACGCTAGCAGGATGTCACCCTGTTGTAGCTTCCCTTGGCAGAGGCCAACATGCTTGATTGTTGCGTTGTTTTCACAGTCGTATCGCTGCACGTACATATTTCCTCTTTTTTTTTGCACGTCTCTGGGGTAAACGTCCTACTGCTTTTCCTTGCTCCTCCTCTCCTCGCGTTCACGCCTCTTTCGGTGTTTATTGGTTCCTGACTGCGGGATCTTCGGTGTCCAGACGCACAACGTCCTCGAGATGACAACGCTCATCATCCCCAAGCAGACGGTGAGTGTGCTTACCGTCGTCGTGGATAGATTGTTCTTGCTGAGGTCATTTGTTGGGTGGAAGCCTTTATTCCAAGAAGGAACCAGGGTCAAGATTGGTTCTGCTGCCAATGCCTTCCTGTTTCCTCTGAAGGTTCTGCTTTATCTCTCTCTTCGTGTAGGTGATTTCAATATCGCCTTGACAGATTCACACAACCCTTCCCGGTCGACGTTTACAGCTGACTCGCCAATGTTTGGTGTTGCTTTCGACGCCAACAACCGCTTGTCGACTTTGAGTTTTCCCCCCTGGAATCACAACGAACACCGCCGTGGGTTCATTCTATCCGGGGTGTTTCAACCATGCTGATGCGATATTTCTCTGTTGATCTCTCGCCAACGACAACTATTTCGTTGTTGTGCAAGCGTTGATCACGTACTCTGTGTTCGGTCCTATTTTTGGTCGATGTTTTTCGGTTTTGCGCCCTTTGATAGAGTTCCCTACGGGTGAGGGATTATTCCTCGTACGTTGTATTATTAAGGTTTCCCGCGCAAACTCAAAGTAGATTTGCGACTATTGTCCTTTGTAGTGCTGAGACGTAAGGCAACTTACCATGCTCTAGTGGTACAAGCTGGGCCAAGCCAGGCAACTAATCCAGCCATCACTATTTGAAGCAATCAGAATTAGAGCTCGGTATATCTGATCAACAGCCAATCACAGCGGAATTGCATATGGGTCTCTTCAATAATCGGTATTTTTTTCTTTTCTGTTCGTCTCGTCCCCGTCAGGGCACTTCGAACTCCGTCGAGACTACCGATGAGACCGAGCTGTTCAACTTCATGCTTTCCAACAAGCTCATCACTCTGGGCTGGATTCACACGCACCCGAAACAGGTATCCCGCCCGCACCCTTTTCATTCCCACCCTCGCCCCCTCCCTCCCCCCGGCCTTTGATGTTCCTTTCCGCCCTTCCTACGAGAGATGGTGTTGTGTTTTTTTACACGGAATGGTGCAGATAAGGGCCACTGTAGGATGCTGAGAGAGACATGCACCGGGTGAAGTTGCGGCCAAAGAAGGGTTACACGTTAGCGTGGGGTATTTCTCTGTAGAACACGGCACGCGGCGCTGCTTTGTCCCCTCTTCATTTGCACGAGGCTCGGTTCTTGTTGCTCGGTGACCAGGGTAACCCGACATCGACAATATACTAGATTTTAGTGTGGAGTACTGAACTGAGCATCCACGTCATGGCCAAGTTCTTCATCGCTTGTCGAGCCTAGATCTCTTAACTCGCGGGGTTCTTAAGTGGCTGAGCGTTCTGTAACCTGCTTTCCTGAAATCTACACAGTGTAAACCCTCTCCGTGGCCGTTCCCCTTCATTTTTGTTCAAGGGCTGGAAGGATTTTTGGCGGTCGTTTTCCCCGAGATTTTTCAACCCCAGGGCTGGCTAACGTGCTCATTCCTTGCCGTTGTTTTACATGTGTGTGTGCATGCCTTCTAGGACTGCTTTATGTCCAGCGTCGACGTACACACGCACTGCGGCTACCAGCTCATGCTGCCGGAGGCCGTGGCGGTGGTGTACGCCCCGGGTGACAACAAAAAGAGGTGCGCGCCGTGTCATGAAAGATTTGTCATTTGTTTGTTAATCCGATGCGGATGTAGAGGTTTCGCCAGGTTTTGAAACAACTGCTCTTCACGTTGTCGGTTCAAGATTAAGCGCCGACACACATACGATCGCTTCTAATATGTAGCAATCATCGGCTTGCAGCAATGTCGTTGTCGACCTGATGCTCACCTCCCTCTTGACGATGAAAGCCTTGACTTGGCGACGTTCGCCACACAGCTCTCCGTAAGAATCTCTTGGATGTGGTGCACGCACCCCTCTAGATCTCGTTTTTCTTCGGACATGTAGGCGTTTCTCTACGGAAACAAGCAGTACTTTTGGCGTCTTCATTACCCCGATGATCTCACCGACTATGATTGTCACACTTGCCACCGTTCCTTCGCTATTCTAGCAAATCACTACGGCCTAGTCGCAACAGACGTGTGCCCCCGGTCGTCGGCTCTCACGCCCCCAGCTGCCGTAGAATTTCCTGCGCAGCTACCAACCGCACATAATTCAGGGATGTATGGAGTCCCCTAGTTGCTGATACCTTTCACTTTTTTACGCTAAAAGTCCGCGATGGAAATTAATGGTGATTATTCGGGATTCCGCCGTTTTTCGTGCGATCACCTCAATCGCTATCAATTCTCATCGTTTTACACTATGCGACCCCCGCTGACGTTCCACACTGCATTCACATTATCTCGAAGGGTGTAGACTGGCATCCCAGTATGCATGAGACGAACCAACAAATCTAAACCGTCACTGCCATTTTGAAGGCGTTTGGTCTTATTGCACGAATGGGCCTTTTCGTCAGCACCAACTCGCATCTTCCTCTCTCTTTGTTGAAGTGGAGGGTAGTCACGTGTCACACCCCTTGTTGTAGAGCACCCTCGCCGTTTTTTTGTAGGAAACAAAGGGGCCCTGAAAAAGATGCGATCATGCCCCGTCTAAGTGATTTCGCGTGTTTATAAGTTAGTCATGATGACTCACGACCCCCCCGCGATCCCTGAACCTTGGATAGGGTTGGCGTGTTTCGCCTGACCCAGCCGGAGGGGATGAAGCTTATTCAAGAATGCAAACTCAAGGGCTTCCATCAACATCCCGACGACATCACGATCTACGAACAAGCGGACCTCACATGGGCTCCCGTAAGAATGACGATTGTCGATCTCCGATGATGATGAAGCGCTGTGTATGTGTAGAGGAGGGGGGGGGG